ATTCATTATTATTGCTTAGATGAAAATAAAATTTGTAAAAGAATGGCACGTGATAGCATGTGAGCTGCGGTAGTGAATAATAATGACTGTGTGACTGAGACAGAAAAGGACTGTCCCATTAACTAGATATTAACTCCCAGTCTGGTTCATACATACAGTGGGTTGTAGTGGAGTACAGGGGAAGCAACAGAAAATGAATGGAATTGTCCCTTTGACACGAAATAAAAAAAGAAACCTTTGTTCTTGTTGTCGAGTTGGTAACTAAGGCCTGACTGTAGAGGGATATATATGTTTATATGCCCTGATGTTTCTAACACGTGGATCTGCACACACAATCTTCTGTCATTGTGTTGGGCTGGCTGAGCAGATGGAGCAGCATTTTGTCTTACAGAGGAAAAACTCTATTTCTCTTTCTCCAGGCTGCATTTCTTTGTCTTTTCCTCAGCCGGCTGACTCGCACTGGATGCTGCAGCTTTTGTCCCTGCAAAATATAGACAGAGACATAAAGGACTGAGACAATACAAAAAAAAAAGAGGATGACATGAGGGAGTATAAATGGAATCTCACAGCCCCAGCCTTTCAAACATTGTGTAACTGTTGTTTCTACAAATGAAGAGAAAACACTTGTGTGTTTTTTTTCCTGTTGTTCTGTGCTCAAGAAATCAAATTACTATTTGGTCCATTTTGGGTTTACAGTATGAGTTAGACAGGAAGCCGAGAAGAATCTCTACAACTCACTTACTTCTGTATTTTCTCAAATGGAGGTTTGAAGTAATCTTGTGAGGAGGCTTATTGCTGCCACATCATCTATCATCATCTACCAAACATCTATCATTAAAGCACAGTTCAGATATAAACCTGATTATATGAACGTGAAGGCAGAGCTACTTGTTGGTTCCATGTTGAGATCAGTGCCTACGTCACTCAAAGTCGTAATGACAATTTTACCACATTTAATCTCATTGTTAATATTGATATGAGGTGACCTGTATGCACCAGGTACGTTTATCCATCAATGTCGCATCTACATTTTTTATATTTACACAACAAAAACAAAACAAAAGTGTGTTTCCACAGTTCTCAGTTTCAGGCGCTCGAACCTCCTCTATCTTTCCTCATAAAGAATATTCTAACAGACGGTGTATTTTTTGCTACATTTTCAACTTGCATATAGAATTTACTTTCGTTATGTGTGTTCCGCCACCACCACCCCCACGTGCCAAAAACTACATTTTCCACTTTTGTATGAAGCTGCCTCCCACGGTATGGCAGCTCTCTGAAGTGTGGATCAAAACCACTTCATAGATGTTTGTGGATGAGCCAGGACTGCATGAAACCTTCCCCAGCCTGTTAAACTGTTTAACAAATCTAAAGAAACCAAATAAAGAGAGACCCATGAGTAAGTGGCCATGAAGGAGACGTTAGAGATGTAAGAAGGAAAGGATCCTGCCCATCTGTGGCTCCTCTGACTCTGATGTACCTGCTTGTGTGTTGTTTTGTTGCGATGAGGGATCTACTACACTGGCAACGCTGGAACAATCCTCTTTCTCCTTGGAGAGGGGGCACTCGAATCCACCTGCAGCCTCTAATAGACTCTCCCTGGAGAATTCTGCGGGGGGGAAGAGCGACAAATAGAGGACGAGGTGATGATGGTGACTGAAACCAGAGACAGATGAGTCCTCTTCATCATACGGGGCAGTGGATAAAACGCTCTGGGTCGATTTTTATTGTTATGTCCTGATCCACCTTGTACCATCAGTCAGTTTTCTGATATGAAAGTAATGTCAATCAATACCATGTGACATTTAGTGTTGTTTGTTTACTCATGGTGTGTGAATTCAAAAGGCTGAAGCCACACTACAATGGACGGGGGTTAATGGTCATTGATTTGTTTTCCCCGCCTTCCTTCTTCTTTTCATCTTAACCGAGGGCTTGATTAGAAGTTTGTCTATAACATCAGAGCAATCCTAACAAACATGGTTTCATCTTGTAACCTATTTTTCCAAGGTTGGATTCATCAAAGAACATCCCTGTCCCATTTAAAATGTAATTACTTAACAATATTCCGATTAATGTAATTTCTGCACTCTGGCACTATTGCTTTGGATAAAAGAGCCCTGTCCATTCATGATGCATTAGTCCTGGGTAATTACTAAATGTGTGCGAACAGTGTGGGCTGCCCTGTGTGACCATCCACTCACCCGCTATTAGAGTGAATTATTTGGCAGCAGTTGAAAAGCTGACCTCTGCTTTTTGTCATGTGCTGTACAGTATCTGGCACAGAGAGGAGACAGTACGAGTCGAGGCTTTTTAACAACGGAAGAGTCAGCAAGGAGATGTGTTGCATTCATATGCAGAAAGCTTTTAATAGAGTTGAGCCATATGTCACCTAGACCTAAAACACCTACAATAAGAATTGCTGTTGTGTTTTGTGTTGCTAATGGAGGACTGGTTTGATACTAGTCTCACTGAGACAGGCCTTTGTATCTGCTGTCTACCACCGGTAGCCCCAAAATGTTGGTATTTTCCCCCAGAGGCAAATTCATCATCAGAGATTGATCAATGGCCACCTGTCCTGATCCGCTCATGTAACTCCCAACAAGTTTACAAATACATGTACTTTACATTGATCAACTCCTGTTAAGTATTCCTTTGAGGACCCATCTCAAACCTTTTTGGACCTTTTCTCAAAGCTTAAACAGCTCTTGGTTAAAAGCAGCAATTCACTTTGTCCTTACAAATGGAAATGATGTGCATGTTTATTTGCATATAGAGTGGGGAGGTGAGATCCGATCACAAGTCGTCACTCAAGTCACATGTGGAGACTCATTCTAATGCCAGGGTTCAACTGATATATTTAGAGCTGTCGACTTGTAACCAGATCATCCAACACCTGGTATGGACAGGGCTTTAGATTCCATTAACCTCTTCCTCCTTGTTCTTTACCTCACAGTGCAGTCACATATGTCCCCTCCAGCTAATTTCATGCTTCCTACATCACTCAGCTTCACTTTCATCCTCTTTTCTCTCAATTCCACACCCTTACGTCATGTTAATACGCTTAATTTGGATTCACTCCTCTTCCTTAATATGCCTCTGCAGCTTCCTCCTCTCCCTCCCCTCGGCCCTCATCCCACCATCTGTTCTCTCCGATTCTTGTGGTTTCACAACATCCATTTTTCAGAGGCAGCAGTCACCTCCTCATGTCCTTCCTTTGCTCCAGCACTCTCATACCTTGTTGTTTCCATCCATCCATTCCTTTCTCTGGATCTTTTCTTGACCCAGACAGGTTTTGGCAGACTGCCTTTTGGCCCGCCCCACCCATTCATTAAAGGTATAGTTCACCCATAAATGAAAATGTGTCATCCAAGTGTCCGTTAACCCCGGCATTCAAATTCTGCTAGAAACGGCATCATTTACATCATGTTTTTACCATGTCCTCTCTTATCCTCCTCGTAGTTACTGCTGCAGTGCAAGAGAACTTGTGATTATCTCATTTCGTGAGAACTAACGATAGCTGCAGTTACAGCCGCAGTAACTAGGAGTATACTGCTGAAGAGTTATTTCACAAGTTGCAGACACACAGTTGGTGAACTTTTTCTGTGTCAAAGTCTGCGGTAGACTTTCAAGGATGTTTGTGAGGCGGCCACAACGCTGCAAGCATGCAAATGAAATCCTCTTACTCACTGTCTCCAAACATACCCTCCATTTGGCAGCGCAGTTTCTCAAAGGCCTCCGAAGTGGCTTCGTTGTCGTGCGGGAGCTCCTCCCCGGCGGGCATGGAGTCGGGGCTTGGCCGGTCTGATAGGCAGCTCTCTGAGGAGCACTCGTCTCCGGCTCCCTGCTGCTGCCTGTACAGGTGGTGCTCTACCATGAACTGCAGCTCTGAGAGGAAACAGGTGGAGAAGGAAGGGGAAGAGGGAAAAGATGAAAAGTAGGGAGATATAAAGGGTTAACAGGGTGTGAGAGAGAGGATGAGAGGGGGGAGGAATTGTGAAGTTAAACTGGAAAGTATATGAAGCATCATTGGGGAGAAGGAGGACGAGCAAGAAAAAGAAAGTGATGTGAGATGAAGGGAGCCAATGGGAGAGAAGAGGGGTTATGAAAGAGAGTTTGATGGAAGTAGAGTCTGTAGGTGGAGATTTACTGAGGAATCCATCACCTCAGAGGATTATTGTAGGTTAAGCATTTCTAATAAACCAGCAAGATTAAATTAACAACCTGCACTTATCGGGGGGGAGAGGAATGTAAAGATGTATCAGAGTTTGCAGATGATTATTTTAATCTTCTTTCTCAACCACCTTCATTTATGGTTTATGACTTTTAATCTCCTGTAGAGGACTAAAGCAGACTTTCCCCCGAGTTTCCTCCAAACAGTGACACCTCACAGTTAAAGCTGTGAATCTTATTGAAGAATAATCATCTTAGAGCTAATGTATACTCTTGTTGTTGATCCCCTCCTTGACTTTACAAACTACGTAGAAAACATGAATTCCTTTACATTTGGATACATAGGATTGGAGCTGCATTACTGTGATGAGAAAAAGAAACATCTTAGGGAAATGTCAGGTACTGGAACATTTCTCAGGCTCTGTGTTCTTTTTGTCCAACTCGGTTCTGCTTTTAGCTTGAAAAAAACAAATCTGAGATCTGGTCGGAAAAACACAAGATAATGAGTCCTTGCTGTGACAAGTGCAGGCCTGATTGGATCCAAGGTTGATGTAGGTCACTGAAGGTAGAACAAACTTTCCTCAATTGCTTATTTAGTTCATCAATCAAATTCAATTTAGCTGACATTTGAACTCCAGAAGCAATTTGGAGACTGGAAATTCGAAATAACATCCCATTATAGGATAGGAGGACATTTTTACATTCTGTTTTAAAACAATTCTTACATGTGCATATTTATTAGGTTTTGCTTTCTGTGATAAATCCTACTGGTGTGAAAAGATCACTTTCAGAAACCAACTGCACGTTTATTACAATTCTATTGATTTATGATTCTGTTTTGGTGATACTCTGTCTGAATTAACCACTACAACATGATGCATCTTTTGTAATTTTCTTTTTCTCAGCTTGCACGGCTCACTCAGTAAGCTCTGTTTTTTACATTACATCTTGTGATGTTTCTCACATGTTCTCCCTGGTGGTTTCAGAGCTGGTGTTTTTGTTTACAGGATTTTTTCCTTTTCTTCTGAGATGGGCAGTTCAGGGAGCAGTTGCTGTCATGGGCCTTTTTTTTTATATCTGAGGTACGGGGTGTTTGACTTGATCTGACTTACGTGACCACATTCCACCACAGTTCTATTTAATATAAGTTTGGTTTGACCAGCTCAGAAACGGTATTAATCTCTGTGTTGTCCCTGTAATTGTAGAAACATAAACGCCTGCTCTCTACATGACAGCACCAGCCTCGTCTGATCACCTTTTGTTTTTCGTCTTCTCCAGCAGATCTTGTGATGTTAAAATAAGGCTCAGCATGAGTCCCATAAATAACACAATAGAACAAGATACAGGACATGACTGTAGCTCTGGCTGTGGCAGCCTTCTGCAGAAAATGCTTGGTGCTGTCTAACTGGAGCAAATGTTTTATTAATTCATTTTCGTATTTTTGCCCTATGGCAGCAAATAAAGAGATGTGTTGAAAAGAATTAAGTGAGTAAATTAGGAGAAAGAGCAGCAAGAAATTAGAGCTTTACTGTTGCAAAGTGTGATCTCACACATAAAATACCAACATCACATTAAGGTCGAAGACAACACTGAGAAGTGACAGTACCTTTCATCGTCGGAGTTCCCTTTTGCCCTTTTCGTCGTTGTCGAGGGGAGTTCAACAAGGCGGCCTGGAAAACATCAACATGGCTTATCAGCTGGACAGAGAGCACCAAGATGGAAAATATCTTAATAGAAGTAGAGCTAATTTAAAGAGAGAAAAAACAAACAGATCTCATATAATTCGGTTTCTATAATCTTATTTCACTGAAATACAACAAACAGATTCAATTACCTTGTACAGCTGGTTTGGGAGACGATCTTCATCTATTTCTGCAATAAAGAAAACAATCAGTTCAGTTCTATACACAATAAAACTATGATAATGAGAGAGAAAGTACAATCAGAGTACAAACATGTTGTGCACCAAGTACACTGGGCCCACACACTGTGCACTTCTGAAAATGCTTTGAACAGAGTAGTGGAGCTGGAGAGCTGCTGTGTCCAGACAGTGCAGCGCAGATATAAGGTGACCTTCACCCACATGGTCATCTGATACACTGGAAAAACACTGCAGTAAGTGTTTTTACCAAGCATCGTTAGGCGGAGGTAGTTTTTATCAGTTGTGAATAAAAACAGACTCTGGATATTATTGTACTGATGAAGTGTTTATCCAAACTCCTAAACCCCCGAAGAGTCGCTCACAAAATCCACATACAAGCCAGGACCATGGAATGCTCATGATCTTTAAAAAAAAAGGTACTTTTACAAAAAATGTCTGTTCCATATCTATTATATTGTATAACCTATTCATATGTTGTGAATACAGAATCTTGATTTTTGACGTAACCAGCAGTGTCAAATAATTCTAATCATGTAAAAAGTACAATTATAGGCACCACATACTTTGTGTACTTTAGTAATTCAGTAACATTCCCCATTGCAGACCAAATAATAAGCACATGTCAGATCATAGTGTGTGAAACATGACTTTGTGGTCTCTATAGGAAAGTACTGGAATAGAATAAAAATCAGTTGACTGGAGAACAGTTAACCCATTAACTGTGATCAATAGTAAATGTGTTGAACCTGGATCCAGCCCCATGTTTCAGCCTTGAAACTTTTTCTAGGACACCGCCTTGTTGCTTGGCAACCTATGCATCCCAAGGCACTAGGAGGGTTGAGTGTGCGTATGTGTGTGTGTGTGTGTGTGTGTGTGTGCCAGTGAGCATGTGCATATATTATTCCTACTTAAAAGTATGCACAAGGGTTTTCAAAATGCCAGAGAAGTGCTTGTTTCTATATTCATCATTCTCTTACTCTTTTACTCTGCACCAAACACAAAACCAGCGGTCTTATGAAAACAGTTCTATTTCTTTTCGGGAAGGATTTCATTTTTATTCTGTGTGTGTTTACAGCAACGCTTGAAACAGATTCCTATTTCAAACGACTTGAACCGAGCAAGGTTCATATCAGCAGAAATGGATCCCAGGAAATGGGCCAGTGAAGGGCTGTCCTTCAAGTTACATGCTGAAGCTTCAGATTTATAAACAGGTAATTGACAGTTATTGAAATATATTGGTCTAAAATTAGTTCATCCCACCAGAGCAAACTTTGATTTGTAATAAAAGATTTGTACGACACTTATACAGTTTTCATGTTGGAAAAAAGAAAGCAAATATCACAATAACGGAAAATGTTCTGGGTTAAAGATAAGTAATGTACAAAACGTTTTTATTCCATCACTCTGTGTATCACGTCACTTGTTAGTTTACAGTGACGTTTTGATTCAATGTACCAGCGTCTAAACCTACGACCTAAACCAGCTTCATGATGTGATTAAGATTTGATTCGGTGTTTGGCACAAAGAACTGTGTTAGGGAAAGACTGTCTTTGTCTTCACGGTTACAACAATGACCACTTGGTTGTGTTGAACTTGTGTTGACTGTCCGTGTGAAACAGAAAATAAACCCGTCCATCCACACCGACATCCTATCTATGTGGAATTTGTTGCTTTATGACAACACCTGACTTCCTCCTTTTCTCCCGTCATACTTGCTACAGCCACTAGAGGGTCACTTGAACATCCTATGATGTAGTTCTTTGAGGGAGGACGGCCTCAAACATACATGTGCATGTATGTGTATACATGATGACACAAAGCCAGATATAGATGCGAGTGTATGAATATGTAATGAACGACATGTGTTCATTACTACAGTTGCACAACTTAGTGTGTATTGTATTTTTTTGAGATAAGTGTTGTGTGACCCGATTAGACTGTGATTGGTTGTTGCCAGCAGCAAGCGTCAGCCTGAAGATGTCTTGAACTTGAAAAGAAGAACCAAGCATATGATGGAAAATTCTGTAATTTCAGTCTTTATGATTCGGTTTTTACACGACATACGGAATTAAATTGCAGCTTCACATTTATCACTTGGGTTGTATTGTCGATTTTTTAAAACAGTGTGTATATGGTAACAGAGCAGCTGTGGTTTCATTTGAACAAATGACATGGTGTTTATTGTTAGCATTAGGAGAAGACATGGTTGAAATATCATTTGGGTCAAGAAACATGACGTGTGGGTTTCTGGCGGCTGATATTCAGATTGATTTGTCTGTGAAAAGAGAACACAGTGAGAGAAAAAGCCAATAAAAAAAACCCATTTCAGCAGTGATGAGTCTGTCACAGGAACTCCCAGCCGACTGAGAGTCTGACTCAAAGCCAGATGAGAACAGAGAGGGTCTTCTGACTCTAATTTAACCACCTGCCATAGCTGTTGTCAGTTTACAGTTGCTACACTGCATTTGATGAAGAAAAATGAGCAAAGTAAAGAAAACTCCTGAAGCGTGAGTTAAACGATGAAGAAATAAGGGTTGATTTATCTCTGTTCTTTTTGCAGTTGTTTTGGCAAAATAATTGGGAGAAAAATAAATGGTTTTTTTTCTGTTGTTCACAACAAAAATAACTTGGCTCATTTCCCTTAGTGTCAAAGAAAACAGTTCTTTTCCTTCACGTCCAACTTTGAACAAGAATTCAAACACTGATATTATCTCCTCAACAAGAGTCAATAAATTCAAATGTGTTGATTTCATAAAGGATCTGAGGATTACTGCGTAAAGCAAGATATCAAATCATGAAAGTTGTTGGTGATGTTCAAGCAAAATGTTCGGTTGATTATTATTGTTGACCTGATTTTAAAAATATGAAACTTTGGCCACAATCAAAATGCCTAATTTGATGATGTCGTGAAGCAGCGCAGGATCATGGGAGTTGTTGTCTTCAGCCAATGTTCACAGTGCACAGGGCAGAGCAATCTGCAGAGAATTAAATAATGCACGGCTCTGTCTGATGAAGGGCACACCAGCACTGCACCAGCACAACTGCTCTCCCTCATCATCATGTACAGTATATTTCTCCCCATCCCCCTCACCCTCACACTGTAACTGTCTCGCTCACCAATTGTGTCTCTGAGTCTGATTAGATAACTGTCTTCGCCTCTGTCTTCTCGTTTCTTTCTTCTATCTATGTCCTAAATCTCTCCGTGACATGCTGTCGTTCTCAGAGTTTCTGATTTTGAAGAAAGACGATGCGAGGTGCAAACCAGCATGAGATTAAATACAATCTCATAAAAACTTGACATGGACACACACAGTTCTTCTCCAATATGCAATGCATTGTTCTCCAAATATTTCTGTCTGTCTCATTCTGATTACAGTAATTACCACCCTCATTTTATGCAAATAAATGTTTGCCAAGACCAAATGCATTGTTGTTTTTAATTGGTGGGAGGTGATGATGCTCTTCCTGTGCCTTGTCAGCTTGAAATTAAAAGAAGCAATCAAAACAATACAGAACTGGGTCTGTTGCTGCCTTTGTAAATGTGATTGTGTTTATTGACGCAGTTTGAACTTAAAGTTTGGGGGCTCACAAAAAAATGTGATGGACAATAATTAATCACAACATCGGCTGGTTCATTTTCATATCCAAACTATTAAGCTCAATGAGTTCACTCTCAGAAATCACATAATTGGCAGTAAATCTAACAGTGGCTGCACAAGGGCACACTTCTCATCCATGCACGACAGAACCTGAGTGAGGCTATGACGAGTTCTGGTAGCCCATGAGGATGGTAAAAACTTTAAGGAATATTCTGACGGCTCACAGACATGGCGGGATTTTTCCCGGGGGTGCCAATGGAGATTGAATGACGCAACTTTGCAAAATAGTGTTAGAAACCTTGTGTGTTCTCAAAGATTTAGCTTAATTATACAGGATGCCACAGTGGTACGAATTACTGTAAACACTGGTGTTATTATGAAAATTATAGATAACAGATAATATCCTTACATGCATTTCTGACCACTAAGGGGCTGATTGAACTCCCTGAACCAAGTAAAGTGTTCCTGTGGTGAAAACTCCATTCTTGAGGTATTCACGACCTTGGACCTATGGGAATTTTGTGAACTCAGAAAGTTGTGACATGTTTGCTGACGTTTTCAGAAATGACAGATAATACTAAATAATTATAAAAGAAACAGCTCAACATGTTAATATAGAATCTGTTAAACTCGCATGTCCTCTTTTCTCATAACCGCTCAGGCATTCCCACAGTCTAGTTTCTATACCTTTCCACTCCACACTGCTTTCTCTCCTTGTGTCTCTAATCTGGAGGATTATTCAGTGTTTCATCTGCACTTTCATTCCGAGATGAAAGTTGATAGACACTCCACACGCCCAGTGTTCAATTACCGCATCAAACACAGAAGCAAACGCACCAACTCATACACACATGCACAAAGGATCAAAAGAAAAGTCCGCGAATTTATATCCAATTAGAAATACTGTTGTTTTCAAGATAAAAAACATGAAAGATGTCAAGTCTTAGTGATAGAAAAGTTGTGATTTAAAAAGATGTGTCAGTGTCAACAGCTGCTGGTATCAATAACACTTTTATTTATTCATACAATACACACCAGGTGAAAATGAGTTGTTCTGCCCTGTATTCCCCAACTGATCATCTCTTACTGTCATTCTGAAGTGAGTTACACACACACAGAGGAGCAGCATGTTAGTGGATGAGTCATAGAACAGAATAACTCTGGGAAGCTCCGCTGTGTTTGATCAGTAAGATCCCATGAGAGGAGACACACTCACACACACACACACACACACAGATGTTGTTGTTGCTCTAATTCTTTTGATGCACAATAAGGTTGAGATGCAGCATCAGGCAAAACAAAGATGTGTAAAAGTGCATGTGTGAAACATATTGTTGTTGTAACTTGTTAGTGTGTGGGTCTATGTTCCTGCATCTCACAAAGTCATAATTCCCATCTGGGTACACAAACCTGGTTCCAACAATGTTGAGTGTTCTGACTGAATAGTAACTTTTAAGTCCAGGTTTAGATTAGGACAAGAATAATTTTGCTTCATTAAAATGTTTTTGTTATTACAACCTGTGTCTGTTTTGGACCTGCCTGTTTGGAATGGACTGTTTTCTTGCATTGTGCCGTCCCGGACACGATGCTGTCCCGATGAGTCACAGCTGCTGCTACAGAGCGGAAAGTTTATTTATACTGAACGAATCCTGTGTCCAGGTTGCATCTAATTCAAAACTGCAGTGCACATGTCAAGTGTGAAGCTATTAAGATGAACAGTTCTCGAGATGTGCGTTCCACATACAGGCAGAGACTTCAATACATTTCTGTATCACTTGTGGAGTTCTATAGTAATCACTTCTATTTAGCCTTACAGCACTTTATTAACAAAAGTGATTGCTGAGGCCTAGAGAAATGACACAATGAAGTATAAAAGGTAAGACATGGTGCTTTGTGATTGGATATAGTCTATTGTCTATTGTTTATCCTGATCGTCTCATGCACTTCATTGTGAACTGAAACGATCAAAATGTTTAAAATAATCTCTCACTGCCCTGAAAATGAGGAATCAGGGATTCAGTCTGTTCACGGCTGCCTGAATAAAACATCTTGTATGCTTTCCAAAGCCTGTAAACAGCTATAAATAAATAAAATATATGTAAAAATTAAAAATATATTTTAAACACATTTACAAAATGGGGAGACATTTTTTCATCTGCCCTCCAGAGTCCTGCACTCGTCGAGTTTTGCAAACCTGGTGTGTTCCTGCAAAGCTCAGCACCAGAATCGACCCCTTAACTCCAATTATCTTAGAATCAATTCTGGACTCAACCCATGGCCCGACCATAAACCCAGAGAAATACGCTCTGAGTTGCTGCTGAGCCGAGCAGGAGAAGTCAAAAATAAGCTATCAAAACAAGATGGGTTGATAAAACGATATCAGCAGATGATGGAGGCAGAGGCACTCGATAAGATTTCAATGACCTCCCCATGTGCTTCCTTTTCCTCAGAGCAGCTGTAAACATCACACCTCTCCAGATGTGAGTGTCATGTTACACACATGCCATCACAACGGGGATACCTTCATTAATTATTCAAATCTAGTGACAAGACACCAGGATTGAACTGTTAACTGAACTCCTGTGCATCTCAGACACCAGGGAGCTTTTCTCAAGTATTCACAGTTTACACAGGGAGATCATCTAAAGAATAGCTGCAGATTAGCGCTTCACTGACATAAGACATAAGATGTAGGGTTGTTTTATTGTCTTTTTTCTTTAAATAAGGAGATAAGTAGCAGAGCCACAGAGTTCAGAATTTATTATTCAACTTGTATTAACACAGTTTGCAGATTTACGACCGGAGCCAATGACTGTGGCGGCAGCTGCAATGACAAGGTAAGCTACATCAACAGTCTGTTCTCTGACTGTAGATAAAGATGGATGACATGACAACTCCTTACCTTCAATATTTCAAACTGAAAATAAAATTGCAACGCAGATAAAAAATAAATAAATAACTTAAGACTCCCCTCGAACCATCTTCTGTGGGTTCTTATCATTACATAAATAATACCAGGGACCCTCACAGACCTTAGTCACACTGAAACTCAAACAGCTGAACCTGACCAACTTTTGCCAAACTAAAGCAATGACACAAGTTGTTGCTTTGGCTGGTGTGATGTTCGTGTTTCAGCCTGGTTGAATATCCCAAGTATTGTTAATGTAACATGTCCCAGTAACTCAGCTCCCTGTGCAGTTTTTACACGTTTCCTGTCTGAACGTTCACTTTAAAACCTCTATTATCATGCGTAACAGCTGTGACAAATATTTTTTTTAGCAATAGCAGTTTCCTCAGATCACAGCAATGTGAGAAAAAGTGTGTGTGTGTGTGTGTGTGTGTTTCATTTTCTCACCAGGTGAGGACTGGTCACTGGACGCCACTAAAGTAGCAGGAGTGGGTCTACGTCTTCTGATCTGAAAAAAAGTGGAACAATGTCATGGTGGAAGTCATTTTATTCCTTGAACATACAAAAAAACAGGTTCCATTAAAAAGGTTTTGCTGCCATGCCAAGAAGATATTTAAGTTTGAAGTGTTTTAAAGTATCTAAATCCCCCAAAACACTTTCTTGCTCTACTTTCACACAGACCCTCCATTGGGGTTTACTGGCTCTATCACAAAATGCTAAGCAGTACACTGAAATGTGCATATTCTACAAACAAGACCAGTCAGGGAGTCTAGTCCTGTTCCCTCAGGTCCAGGATTATTGTTATCATTACGCAGACCAGCATCCACTGTCCCTTGGGACGCTGGCAGCCCACAACACTGTGTGTGTTCCATATTTTGGGTTTGGGACTCAGTTTGCAGACGTCTGAGCTGTGTGAGAGCAGAGCTGGATCTCACAGTGCAGCGCTGGGAGATCTGCAGGGCAAACTGCCACCACCTACTTGCTTCTTGGCTCATGATTAGTGGAGTGTAGCAGCTATGGAGCAGTCTGGGATCGTACATGAAAAGACTAGCACAATTCACTGAGCTGCTCAGCAGTTCGTGTTCAAATCTCAAATACTAGATATGATGCAAACCCAGTGTTATTTCAGGACGTCCCCTGGTTTCAATTAAATACATCAAAATTAATAACAAGGAAAATTACCCTTCATTTTAAATAAGGGTAAAATAAATAGTGATCTTTAACTGTCCACCTCTTGTATAACAATATAAAGTGAAGATGTTAACATTGAGCAATTTCTCATAGCAGAATGTGAGGAAGCTGCACACACTCCCCCACCAGTCAGGTCAGCTCTTTCTTTATTCATTCTGAATATTTGGTTTCTGTTAAGAATATTTGTTTCTCTGTTTGTGTTGTCATCTAAATTAGGCTCCACTTTAGTTGATAAATGCATTTGTTTAAATTAATATATTTTCATTGTAATGTTGGTTTCATTGTTGCTTGTTTGCTTTTATTTCTAATCCTTGTTTTCTTTGAGGTTCACTTCCTGGTTGAGGTGGTGCTCATGAACGAGCACACTTGAATGCCACATCTCCACCAGGTGGTTTCAATGTGGACTGAACCATGTTGGAAAGAAGAATGGGCTGGAGGGAGCAATTGGTTTTCTTTTGTATTTTCATTTTTCTCCTAGCCTTAAGTAATATTAACTCTAGCCTTAATACTTTGTTGTAGAGGTATTGTACTCTTTAATGTATTAGTTTAAAGATACTTTATTAATATTCTTGTTTGCTTTAATTGTTTTCATTTGACCTTTTTTATTTAAGGGATGGTTTTACCCAAACATATTTAAAGCTAGTGTTTGAGGCCTTCAGCTGTTTTGTCTGTGGGTTGGGGACTTTTCTATATGCCTGTGGGTTTTTGTGTATCGATGCCATGTTTCTTTATCTTGTGAGAAAGTAAACTCAGACCTCTGAACCGACTTCCGGTCTCACTGTTGCTCTTACATTCTCTCAGACTGACTGATTCTCTCACATCCTGAGTTTAAATGGCTGAAACATCTATCCCTAGCATAGAACCTTGTAAATTATTTTAACAACATGCAGTGAAGTTATTTCTATAGAATAATTTGTAATATTTGCAAACTGTAATGATTATACAGTAATATTTTGTTTGCAAACTTTGATTTTATAATGGTGGCACACTCTGACCCACTGATGTTGCAAACCAACTGCTCCATGTGAGAGTGTAGAAAAGAAACTACTGCACCATAAACTCTAAAAGGCTGTGATTGTGGAATTCAATTAGACAGCCAATTATTCAAACACACAGGCACTGCACACACTGCTGACACAGTGCTGATGAACACTGGAAGTCTTGTGAGCTCCAGTTCTCCATCCATCTTTTCTAAATACTGCTTGAGCACTTAAAATCAAAGCTGTTTTACTTCAGCCAACACAGTGAAGCATCACACTGCATTTTATGTGACATTTTAAATTGATCCCTTTCTGTTTCAGACGAGAAATTAATGAGCAAAGTTTGAGCAAAAGACAGAGAGCAACAAAAGTTTGAGCTGTAAAAATGACTTTATAATGGGAAACTAAAAGACATGGTCTTCTCTTTATTGCAGTAGATTTTACCGTGAAAAATCAAAAAAGTAAAAAGAATTGGATTAATATCCCCAGGTGCATGTTTTGGTTTTGAGGCTTTAAATAAATAAATATTTGAGAGGAAATCTTGAAATTGCCCAAAATAGCGGGAAACACACACACACCACACATACCGAAGGAAAGACAAATCTAATGTTTGAGCCCTGCATGGTGTGAAACCTGATCTGCTAATGGCACCATAGTCATACTATGAGACTAATGACATGAAATAATTATGCAACTTTAGCAATTATGTGCAATAATGAAAAATGAGCAGTCACTCGAACTTCAGCAGCAAGGTCTAATTGGGTATTCAGATTTGAAGAGACTTCATTATCTTCCAAATCTCAGCCTTGGATCACAGGAAGGCTGTGTGAATAACAAGCAGCACTTGGTGTCTTTTCTTTTCATGCACAGACGAGAAGAGATGTGGTTCTGCTTCATACCAGAAAAACTGCTGAACTCACATCCTGAGATGCATGTAAACTATTGAGTGTTGCCTGACCTGTGCTGTTTTTCCTTTCGGCATCCATGCACAGGGTCTCAAATGGTAATTTCTTCCTTGCATATATAACCATGAATAAATCCAGGTACGCCCAATGTGCAGAGTGTAAAGATGGCGATCCAATGGATTAACATGCACACAAAACACAGCCGGGAGAAATCTGAAGCTGTACCTTCAGTGGCATGTTTTGTGAGAATGTAAATGCATCATCACAGAATTGAAGGAACTGGAAATCACTGTGTCCTAGAATCTATGTTAATTGGGTTAGTATAATACTGCAGTAATACTACAAGGGGTTATTGGAAAGTGAAATGGGATATTTACAAATGTTGTCTGTGAACATTTTAAACAGGGCACAAAACAGAAGCATTCTCTCACACACAGATGTTTAAGTCAAAGACAAAAACTAACTTATTTTTATTTTTCTGGTTGCATGTTGGAGCTTAAAGTTTTTTTGTTGGGCAGAAATTAGAATCTCTTAACTTGTTCACAAAGAAGTAACTTATCTTCTGCCTGACAAGAAAATAATATTACTTGTGGTAATTTTAGGGTTTCCATTTAGACAAGTTATATTATACCACTTTAACTTTATAATATAATGTAAAAGTCAAATTCATTTAAAAAAATTCACTAACAAAATAACTAACAACTAATAACAAATCTATCTATCTTCTTGCCTTAGAAAATATATATAAATAAATAAATATTGGCCCTCGTTTTTACCTGCACCTGGTTACTACAGTCATAGTATATGTTATATATTAGTTGCCAGTAAAACATATGTGGCACTGTGACATTAGATTGAGTATGCAAAGTATGAGGCCACTCTTACTACTATATTCCAAAAGTTATATGTGAAACTCCTTCATGAATATGAACAGTCCTGAGGTGAAACTGACAACTCTGTACAACTCAGTATGTCAGTACATGATCATGTTTTTACTCCTAGATTCGTAGGTCAATGAACTCTAACTCTTGTGTGTACTACAAATCTATGTACAAATATCTGAGCCCTGTGTGTGGGGTTTTGTTGTGATTCCAGAAGTTCATCATGCCGGCCCACATTAAAGCACAACGTCTGTGAAGAACTGATTATACCCAGAGTCATTGTTATTCTCCTCAGACGGCAGCGGAGCAAACCCCCCCGATCCTTCGCTCACACAAATACCACCGCTCACTGGACAGGCCCAACCTTCAAACCATAATGCCTGCCTTTCAACCCACATCCATTTAAATGCAGTTCCGTCACTCAACACAGCAACAAACAAAAACAGCCTTCAGAGTGATGGGTGGGCATGAAAAGCCGTCCATGCCTGATATTCTTGTGGCGCGGGGGCATTGAACAAAATACCCTTGGCTGGAAAATATAGGTCAAGCCAAGAGACAGCAAATTTTCCCAGCAGACCCCGAAGGCGTACGAGCAAAAAGAGGAAAGTCAACAACAAAGAAAGCATCTTATTAGAAATACTTTAAAATTTCAAAGATGGAAAATATAAAAATCCATTACACATACCTTACTTTGTATGTAGCTGACTTCAGATATATATCCAAGTATCTAATATTCAGAATTTTGGGAGAATTATTCCAAGTATCAATGACCAATGTCTTTTCACATGACTACCTTTGAATAACAGGGTACCTGCTTTAAGGAGGCATATTATATTGGTCAATTGTTTCCAGCATGTCTATAAAATGTCAGCCTCTAGTCTTGATTTGTCTTTCTCTGTTAAAGGACATGTCGGACATGATGTGCATTGCGCAAATGTGAGCCATGATCATAGGACATCACGATATACAGGAAGTATCAGACATACTATTGAGAAAGAAGCTGTAAGCTTACTGAAGACTTTTGCCTTTTTACCTTGGCAGAACTCCTACATGCACAAAAACTATGTCACACACTTGAGGAAAGAAAAGATGAAAAAGTATAATATGAAGGTTTTTTAGATGTTTGGATCATAAAGCAGGTCTTGGAGCAAAGGGGAGCCAGTGAGGCCAACTGAGTGACGGCAGGGGGTATGGGATGTATGATGTGGGGTGGTAATGGTGTTCTTTTTGGTTTGTGTGTGTAAATTGTGAAATTCAATAAAAAGAACGAAAGAATAAAGCAGGTCTTGGTGCTACCTTAAAAGAAGCCATCAGGATTCACACAGCTTTGTGATTTCACAAAGTTACCGCCCTCAGTTCTGCCCCAGAGTGTTTACTGAAAATCTGCAGCGTTTTCATCTGACCCCCATTACAAACTTGTATTAATACTTGTTTGGTCTCTTTCTCTTTTCAGCTTTTAATCTTTTTAACACTAATCTTCTACCAATCCCTGGATTAATTCTATCTTGCTGTATTAAGTTTCCTGTATTATCAATCGTGTTGTTTCGAGAG